GTGAACCTGGGCACATTTGTTTACAGGGTACATAGAAGAAACAAAACTATACCCCTGACCTGGAGTGAAAAATGAGACTATTTTTTTATGTTGAAATAGGTATTCACTTGGAATATATATTTTGTTTAGTTTAACACAATAGTTTAGCCCTGCACAATATGCCTGCTGGCATTTTTTAAAAAGTAATAAGTTCACTATTGTCCCAAAAGATGCATTGCTAAGCACCTCCAAGCCTCACTGTTGCCACCAGCTTCAGTCCCGCTACCACTGCTAGCTGCCAAGTAGCTAATTGGCATGCCAGGTATTCCTTTGTGGCCTGCAATTATTTTTAATTAATCACTGTGACCCTTTCCCCTCTATGAGTTACGCAGGCCTGGTTTAGAGCCTCCAGTCCTCCTCCAGCAACAAAATCCTTGAAAATGCATATCTTTGAAAAAGCAAATGCAGAAGGTTAGGCTATATGAGGTACTTTAGCCTTCATCCTTCAGATGACTGGGACTACAAGTCCCAGAATTCATAGCCAGCATGATTGGAGTTGGGAAGCATTGTGTAGTGGATGCATTGCTGGACTTGGTTTAAGGAGACAGAAATTAAAATGTCTGTCCATGAATTCATCCATGAATATCCCAAGATGGCTTTGGATAAACATGTCTCATCTTAGCAGAGCATGGATTATATGCTCCCAGAGGCCTTGGAGAAAATATAGGAGACAAATATGAGATAGAAACACATCTTAACCTTCATTATTTTCTTTATCTCCAGGTATGGTTTCCGAAAACCACCTTATCTGGAGCTAAAAGCTCGGCCAAAGCTTGGTGAAAGAGAAGTGACTTTGGTTCATGTGACTGAATGGATAGAGAAGAAACTGGAACAAGAATTTCAGGTAGTTCAAATACCATTAACTGTGCCAAAATAATAAGTATGTCATTAGCTAACCCATCCGTATGCTTGATGATGGTAGCGTGTATCTAAGATGAAAAAGCACACATACACACTGAATGGCTGCCCATTGGTTTAACACCAGTCATTGCTTCTGAGAATTTCAGGTTCTTATTTTGATAAAACACATAGGAACATACAGCACTTTGGATCCAAGCCATAAAGATACATCAAAATAGGTGTAGGGACATACTATGCACGTGTTGGTGCCTCCTCCAAGTAGCTGTATCTTTTTCTGGCCTCAACAGCATTGCATGATTCCAGAAAAAGATGCATTTGATTTAAGGAGGCACCAAGTGACCCCACTGGTGCCCCAAAACACTTTTTTTTTTTTTACTTTGGACCCGAAGTGTGCCATATCAACACTAAAAAATAACTTGTGTACCCAGTTTTTTTAAGTAAAGGGATACTGCCTGATTTTAGTTTCCTTCAAGTGATACCAAAGAATTTGAAGGAATATTATTGTGGATAATCTCATAAAGAAAGGCTGGTTTTGGCCTGAGACAAACAAATGGCTTGAATAGATTACAGTATTGCTCATACTTTTTATTGTCAGACTATATTTGTAGGATACTGTTCCTCATGAATTTACGGAAAGATTGAAAAGAAATATCTGTTCAAATTTCTAGCTATCTCCCTTAAAAATTTGGGATGATGGGGGCAAGGGACTACAGCAGATAGGCATCAACTCTTTTTAAAAATGCATTGGTGAAGTTTGTTGAAATGGAATAGAATGTAAGGTTTTGTAACCCCTGAAAAGCAGTGTTGCTTTAATACCATAATGACTCTGTTCAAATCTATGCTTAAAGTAGATGAAAGTTTACTAGTGACCCATGAAATTGCTTGATTCAAAGAAACCTGTTTAGGGTTCTACTTGGCCTGATGGGAAAGTCCAAAATATGAGTTCAGTGAATTTGAGTTCACTTGACTTTACATTCAGTTTTTATTCTAACTCATTGTTATGCCTTGCAGAAAATTTTTGTCATGCCAAACATGGACGATGTTTATATTCCTCTAATGCACTCAGCCATGGACCCCCGCTCATCTTTGTGCCCTTTGAAATATTCTGATATAGAAACTGTTGAGCAGCCATGAAGTGGGAAGACTGCAGTTTACAGTATTAACAGATGTCGTTTTCATGTTCTCTTTCAAATGAAGCTGTCTAGCCGATTTTTGTCCTTGTGCCATGTTTTATTTTTTAAAAATAAGATTGCTTATGCCAATTATTGCTCCACTTATTGCTCTCTATTGACTTAGAGAATTAGTTCCATTTCTGCTAGGCTTTAAACCTAGTAGTTAATGTGCACTATTCTGCTGTAAACTAGAAAAAAATTCCAACTAGCAGCAATTGATCCGACAGCTTTGATCCAAATGGAGTTCTTTATGGATGTGCAGTAATTCAGGATACACCCTGAACACCGATGGTCTCATCCAGCCATATGGAACCTCTTTTCAATAAGGAACAAACATGTCTAACTGGGAGACTTTCTCCTCTCAAGCAGCTGGAGATATAAATGGAAGAGGCATGTTTTTCACTCCTGCAATCCCAATAGCTTGTGTCAAGCAATTTTGAAATGTTTTCTGGAGCTAAGAATGTATATTGGATGTATAGGTGATACTGTGAATCACTTCATGTAGATTATACATAGTAACTTATTTTTTTTTCATATGAAATTGAGTTTCTTGGAAATGAGTAGCCATATAAAACATGCAAACATACAGAATTGGTTTTGCTAAGGGATCTTGTGATTCTTTAGAAAAGAAACAGAAATTAGACACAGCCATGAGACCAAACTACAGTAAGCCTTCTAGTTAGTATATTACAATTGCAGTAGTTATGATGAATGTTGACTATGAGAGATGACTACACATGGAAATGCCCAGCGCCATGCATGTACTCATTAGAAATGATTGCATGGAAGGAGCCATTCACCTTCACCAACCAAAACGTTCAGAGTTCTGTTTTTGTTCCCAGCTGTGTAGTGGATCCTCTTGTTTAACCAATTAAGGAGGTGCAAATCAACTACAAAGCACTACAAGTGAGAATGGCCAAGAGAGCATTGCCTTGCTGTTCCTTTTCTGTATGGATTAAACGCATATACTGAATCTAACTCTTTTAAACAGTACATAAGCGAGGAGTGTTTTTTGATACTCAGTATTGCCAACTACTTATGGTGAAAGAATGTTAATTTAGTTTACAAAGAAAGCAGGTGAGCTATGGAGTTCACTCTTTGATAGTGTACTACGCTTTACATGTTTTTAAAATCTTTTTTGTATGTTGTGTTAGATTACTGCATACAAAATTCCTCGTGATTTGCCATCTCTAAATGAAGCTGATTGAAGTTTTTTTTAAAAGCACCTTGGCTGAAACATATTTAAAATTTAGCATTTAATATATGGACATATTCATATTATTTGGACAACTATTTTGTTACCTCAACTATGGGACCATTCTATTTTGTGTACTATTCTTCTCATCACAATGAAAGCATTTGCCTTCCCCTTAAATCTGCATGTCTTATTCACAGCTCTTTTTTCCCCCTGTGCAATAAGTCAAAATACTAGATGCACAAATATGTAAACAATTATCCAGGTTCGGCACAAGTGAATTCACTGCACTTCGTAATCGGACTATGTGGGTTACTACAGTGGGCTTGCTTTGTTTTCTGAAATAAACTTATCCCATGTCAAAAATCTGTCTTGAGATTTGTGGGGGCTGGCGGTAGGGATGCATATCCAGAAGTATAGCACTCATAGTTCAGTGGGGCCGAAACAGTGAAAAATTACCAAATTGGATTCAAGTTCCTTACAAGTCTTTTGAACGTTTCAGGAGGCCCTTGTCTCCAGTGCTGTACTCATAAAAGGTGGTGTTCTGCGGGCATAATCAGGCAAAATATATTGTGCCTCAGGGTGCCTGGAGTCAGTCCTCCTCTAAGCCAAAATTGTTCAAGATTCTGTGGGGGTTGAGCTGCAGCATAAAAAGCTCTAGAATTTTAATAGCATACAACTTCATGATTTTATTTTGTAAATCCGCTACAAGCCACTTCCTAAATCTCACTCCCCCAAGCAGAGGGCACAGGTTTGTTTTTTGTTTTTCTGATAGAGTACTGTAAAATTATTTTTTCTTCCACTTGTAGAGAAAGGCTCAGGGGATACAATTTCCACCCACAAGTCTTTTCCAAGAAACACAGCTAGCTTCCCAGGCAGGAAGATTTGCTGTATGTCCAACAGTCCCTCCTAAAGACTCCTCTTTCCAATTTTAGATTTCCACTATCTAAAATGTGGTTTGTGGCTCATTATCAGAGCTGTGCAAACCATCTGGTTGAGTGCTTCAGGAAATTTCTCCAAAATTGCTGCTCAGTAAGTAGAGGCCTTGTGTCTCTTGGTCAGCTGCTCCAAGAGGTGCATCATCTCCACATTCCTTTACAATCAGCCTTTCACCATGATGTAAATTAAAAGCTGCATCTGAGATCAGACACACAACAAAGGGTGCGGGTCTTTTCCTCAAGCAACATGGAACTGGCAACTATGTGGAACAGCGTCTGTACTTATCACATTGAACCAAAAAGGGGTCATGGTTTTGCACCACAAACCTAAGCAAAATTGTTAGTTTTCAGTTCAATATCATACGGACCCAGATTGGGTTACATTACAATCAAGTAGATTGTGCTAATTTAATCAGCATCAACTATCTGACAGTATTACAAAAGCTTTGCCCAGGTTCTGCAAGAGATGATTAAAAAACTTTTAAAATTATAGATACAATTATTTTTATGCAACAGTTCCCTGAAATGTGAACATCATTTTAAGGGTTCCTCCACAGCAGTGTTTCTCAACCTTGGCAACTTTCAAATGGGTGGACTTCAACTCCTAGAAATCCCCATAACCAGCATGCTGGCTAGGGAATTCTGGGAGTTGAAGTCCACCCATCTGAAAGTCGCCATGGTTGAGAAACACTGCTCCAGGGTTTTAAAAAAAAAAAAAAAAAAAATTGAGGGGCTGCTCTGTAGAATTTTAACTGTCCCCAAGAGAAAATTCTATCCAGAAATAGACCAATTCACTCTCCTTGAAATAGTGTTGCATTTTTAATAGGATTTTGAGTTGCATGTCTCATTACTATACTCAGTAGCATTAAAGCAGATATGGGTGATTGGTTCGCAAGCTGCATGTCAGTTACACACACACTTGAATGGGTGGTTGTTTGCAAATGAACTCTTTGGTTATGATTTACACACACACTGGGGTTGCAGTTGCAGCTACATCAGAGGGCTATACAGGTAGTCCCCGGTTTAAGAACTAGTTCCATTCCCAAGGTCTGTTCTCAAGTAAAATTTGTATGTAAGCCTAACAGTATTATATAATACTATATAAGTAATGTGTAATTAACTCAAACCATTGTGTATATAACTCAAATGTTGCTAACAATAGGCTCCATCCTTAACTATGGGTCATCCATAAACTGGTCGTTCTTAACCCAGGGACTAGTACTTTTGAAACCTGGTTTGTGCTAACATTTCCATTTCTATTGAAGTTGCGTCCTGGGCAGCGAGGAGGGAAATTAGTGCAGCATCCCAGCTCTGACCACCAGTTGTTCATAGATGTTCCATTAGACTGCCAAAGACCTGTTCTATAAAGTGATGTCCACCTTCTATGCACGTAATCTTTAGTCTTGCTTTCTCTTTGGGCTTGTATAGATGTATATGGACTTTGATTTGTGTGCTAAAATTATGTCATATGACTAACCTTTCACATCTTTGGGGTAAAGGACAGTTATCCTTTTAGTAGGTGGTCATGTGTGCTATATTCAATTGGGTGGACATACACTTTTTGATAAAAATGGGCACCAATAAGATTCTAGTAACTGCAGTGCATTATGGCTTGTCTGAATAGGATTTTATACAACACTTCTATGATGCTAGATTATTATAGTCATTGAAGAGATGGTTATGCAAAGACTGTCAGGTAATAAGCCCAAGTAGAGTCGCTCCTTGAGTGAGATGGATGGCGACTAAATTTGAAATATAAATAAGCCAATCTCCACATTCTCTCCTCATCTGAACTTTAATTCATAGTATCTTCAGATATTCTAGTGAACAAGATAGAATCAAAGTTCTCCTGCACAATATACTTCTTCCAGAAGATCAAGACTCTGAACATTCATTGCAATTTTGGCATTAAGCACAAGATGGATTGTAACTTGTCTTTAAAAGAATCACTCAGGTTTAAGCTGAGCAACACCAGTTATAAGCAAGCTTTTTATTTTTGCACTGTAGCGTAGCCAGTGAGACCATGAATGGGCCATGCACCAGTTCAAAGGCAGTGCTTCAAAGTTGTCTGAAAAAATGCCCAAAGTAAACAGGTTTTTAAATTTTAAAAATTATTTATTTACATTCAGGACATCCCCAAATCAGCCCTCTTTGCATTGCTTTATTCGGCAAGTAGTAGTTCCAGGGGTTTTCATTCAATATCAAGTGAGAATCTTGGCACACCTAGGGCAAAAAAAAGCAGAATTAGGGATACTGATTTAAAAATAGTGAGATACCTTTGCTCAAACCTAGCAAGATCAGCTTGTCTGTTTTTTTTTTTTTTTTTTTTTTTTTTTTTTAAGCGTATGTCCACTGAACATAAGTTTAAGAGCTAGTGTACCATTACCTGCACCTGGGCAAATGATGCTGGTGGCTCAGATTCAGTGTCTCTTCATCTGCATCAGCAGTCTAACACGCCAAAAAAGAATCATCACAGCAGCCAGCATAGTCTTCCCAGTTTAGATCACCCAACAGCCCTGCTGGATCAGACCAAGGTCCATCTTAGTCCAGGATTTTGTTTCTCATGGGAGATTATTCTGATGTGCTCACAAGGGGATGCAAATATATCCCTCTCCTAATGTTGTTCCTTAGAGGCATGCTGCCTCCAATCCAGGGGAGACATTCAAGTCCAAGACTAATAGCCCATATCAGTCATCTCATCCATGAATTTCTTCACTAGCCATCACTCTTGTGCCCATATATTCCACTGTGTGAAAATGTTTTTTTGGGGGGGGGTCTGCTTTAAAGCACCTTCTAATCAGCTTCACTGCATGACCACCGGCCCTTGCACATTTGAGGGGGGAAAAGTTTCTCCCTTTCCAGGTTGCCGTACAGTGAGATCGTATGCTAGAAAAAAAGTTCTAACCCTTCTTCCATATGGAAGGTGTCTGAATGCCCATATTACGTATGATTTCCAGCTTTTTCAAACACATGAACTAGAAAGCATTATATAAGTTAGGAGTGCAACACATCTGAAAGCATAGGTGGGAGTACTTTGGCATCAGCAAAGACATATTCCAAAACCCACAAATCTATCCTCAGATTCAAGGGGTGTGTCAGTCCTCTCTTCAGTCCATGCAAAAGCAAACTATACATGCACTGCCCAATTATTATTCTGCTTGTATCTCAGCGTACTCAGGCCAGCCATTAGAACAAAACGGAAGAGGGAAATGCACCTCTATATCACAATACAGCACCATAGAAAGCCCGAAAGTCTCCCTTTCCACGGACTGAAGAGATTCAATTCTGTCAGTACTAAGGACGATACATTCAAGGCCACTTAGCACATCCAACTTAACCACGAGGTCAGGCTCAAAAACTACTGTATAACGCAATACGTTTTCCCCACCCTCAGTTAATAGTTCCACGTGATGCTTTGTAAAACAGCTCTAAAATCCAGTAATCGCCGTCGTAAGGTTGGAGAGAGCTTCAACCCCCTTAGGCAAGGTGTACGAGCGCAGTAAGTAAGGCAAGTCCACGAAATCACAGCAAGGCACCACCCGATCCCTCCGATACCAGGCTCCGCGGCCAACGCGTCCGCTCCAATTCCATGCGTTTTTACTCGAAAATAAATCCTAGGTCAATAGCGTTTGCCAACCCTCCGCTGCAGCTAGGACTAGAGTACATCTCTGGGCTGCAAAAATCCCAACGACCGCCAGATGGCACCAGAGACATATAAAGCTGGAACTCTTTGCCACCTAATGACCATAGCGCAGTTATAGCAGCCCTACACTGTCACCAGAGACAACCTCGTTTATCTTTTCCGTTTCCCCAGCAGCTACGCCACCCAAAACAAGGAGAGCCAGCACACACCTCCTTCGGCTTCGTTTCCGCGACGAAAAGGCCTAACATGGTGCCTGTCTCTCTATTTATACGCCTCATGGCGCCTAGAGACACGCCCCTTTTCTAGAAACCAATTGCAATACTGTGGCGCTGTCACGTGACTGGTGCCAACTCGAGGCAAGTATGCCGGTAATGCGCATTGCAGACATTTTCCCACTGTACTCTTGATCGTTGTTTTTTTGGATCCTATAGTGTTACGCTCCTCTGAAGAATTACAACACGAGAAAAGAAAGCACAGCAGATTTACAGTATCTGAGTCCTATGCATGTCTATTCACCGGTTTTAATGAGATTTTCTCCCAGAAGCGTTGGTATAGATTTGCGGTTTTATGCATATTTCTTCATATGTACATTTGGTGTGCTTAATTTCTAAGTACATATGTTATCAATCGGGTTCCAGAAAATATATAATGAATAAATGATAGGCGAGGATCTTTCGATTTTTCCACATCGCTTTATCCTACGCAGTTTACAGATTGTCTTTCTTTTTAATCGTATTTATCAATTAGTTGATTCTTGTTGGTCGTCGGTAGTTTGAACTCAGTGGATTTTTTTCTAAGAATAACACTTAATATATTTTGTACATTTATAAAAGAGATGGTCCAATTCACTTACTCCGTTCCGGGCAAGTCCTACAGCTAACGCAAGCCAGATGGTTTGAATAATGCTGTCGCCTTGACTTCAACCAAGTCTTTTTTAGCCTCCAAAGTGTGTGAGTTGTTTCTGTTCACTAGAGGGCACTCATTGCTCATTTTGAAAATGGATGAGTTGAAAATGAACGGCACTGGGATAGTAGGAAAGAGGGCTACCAAAACTGGCCTGTAAAATCAGAGGAGCACTGGATATTATTGTCACAGTACTGAGACAGAAGGAGAAATGATTAGATGCCTGACTGCAGAATAACTATATTTGCTTTGTCTAATTTTAATATGAATTTTAAAATGAATCCGTTTTTGTCCTAGTTGCACCCACTACTTCTGGCATGTGGTCTTTCAAGCACACCATTGGAAGGCAAAGTGTAGCGCTTACTCTGGGGAAAGATGCACACCCCTGTTGTACCCCTCAGAACAGCCTTGCCTTGACTCTGCTGTCCTTAAAAAGGAGCAGTCAAGGTTTCAGACAGGCTTTGCGATTCTGTAAACATACCCTACGACAATAAAGTGGCATTCTTGGAATCCTGTTTCTTGCCCTGGTCTACTTCAAAGGCCTAACTGGAGCCAAAGGAATGCCTTTAAATATATTTATGTCCTTATTGGAAAAAATGGCCTTTTTGTTAGGACCAAGATTCTTTGGTGGAACTTAAGATGGGAAAGGTTCAGAGTCACTGTTCTCGTACATCATGTCCAATTAATGCATTATATAAGCATACACAACTGGGGATTAAGACACCTGGTTTCCATTTTTGCCATTGACTTTGCTTCTGGGAAGCTGGCAGAGGAGGTCAGCCACCGTGATCACCTGACTGCAGGATACTGCAACCAGTTGTAAGTGCAAGCTGGTTGCCAAGCGCTTGAATTTTGTTCACGTGACCACGGGGACACTACAACAGCCAGAACTTTTGAGGACCGGTCATAAGTCCTTGTTCATCGTAATTTCAAACGGTCGCTGAACGAATGGTTGTAACTTGAGGACTACCTGTAAGAGAATTATTGACAACTATATCCCTCTGTCACCAGTTCTTCTCTTGATTTTATTTTACATTCCCCTTG